ACCAAGCAGCAGGGTCTTTGATATCTAAGTATTTTTACAACACTTTATGCTCATTATAGATGGAATTCCTAACCAAAGGAATACTTCAGCTCATCGCCATTAAAAAAAAAAAAACTATAATGGCATTCTGCAATTTAAAAATTTCCCCCTCATAATATGGCACAATATAAATTAGACAGAGAGGTAGATAATTTCAAATAATAACTCAGTGATGTTCATGGATTAGATGTTATTATCCTTGACTTAGAGAAAAGTACACTGAGCTTCAAACTAATGCAGATGATTATCTGAGCAATAGAAACGACTCTCCAATCACACTGTCCACTTTTCCATTGATCAAATGTTTATTAGACACTGTCTGTTATTTCAGGTCATAGAATCAACACACAAAGAAAAAAAATGGTCCCACAGAGAAGCACTGTCCTCAGTTCCTCGTGGGCAGTTGAGTAAATCATCGTGTTTATGATGGCCAAGCACTGCCCTCTACACAGTCATTTCCCTGGATGAACTCCACCAGGTGAACATGTTCTCCATGTTCTCCACCAGGTGAATAGACACTATGAGAAAAGAAAGAACCCCCTGGCTGGACAGCCCAAACCTCACATCCTCTGAGGTGAAATGAACTTAAAATCCTTCGCTTTCAGATGTTCTCCTCCCAGAACACTTTTTCTCTCACCGTGTTTATGTCTGCTAGTGTTTGAAGCAGAAGTTTAGGGTCTATGCGCTCTTGGGCTTCCCTTGTGACTCAGCTGGTAAAGAATATGCCTGCAATTTGGGAGACCTGGGTTCAATCCCTGGGTGGGGAAGATCCCCTGGAGAAGGGAATGGCAACCCACTTCAGTATTCTGGCCTGGAGAATTCCATGGACTGTATAGTCCATGGGGTTGCAAAGAGTCGGACACAACTATCTTTTACTTCACTTCACTTTGTGAGCTCCCAGAGACAAACTGAGTGAAGCAAAGAAAGCATCCTGGGGCTGGGAACAGTACTGGTATAGATGGGAGTGAGGGCACCTGGGTTCTGGCTTAAGAGTGAACCAGATGTTTGCCCTTAGAATGCTCATCTCACATAGGGAGCTTCAAGACTCTAATGTACCAAATGGGCATCTTATTAACTAACCTCCTTACCTATTGTCCCAGTGAACAATAACAGCAGAAATGCAAAAGCATCATAGCCTATACTAAGAAATTAAAAGTACACAGCACAAATGATACAAACAGAAAATTATCCTTGGGGCCCTATAAATCTAATTGTCTTTTATCAACCCATCCTAACTGCCATTTTTTTATAAGCACCCCCCCCCAAAAAAAAGAGCATCATTTAGTGAGTACCAAATCTATGTGATGGACAGGGAGGCCTGGCGTGCTCCGATTCATGGGGTCACAAAGAGTCAGACACGACTGAGCGACTGAACTGAACTGAACTGAATTTATGCCAGGGAAACACAGATTATTTGACTTGGTTTTCACAAAAATCAAGATGACATAGGCATTAGTCTCTCAGTTTGCAGTTGAGTGCATTAAATGTTAGGTTGAACCACTTGATCAAGCTCACACAAACAACATGCAGCAGTGCTAGAAACCTAACCCTTTTATCTCTGAACCCTCAATGGATATTCTCTCCCCCATATAATCAGTTCAGTCACTCAGTCCTGTCCTAATCTTTCTGACCCAATGGACTGCAGCACGCCAGGCCTTCCTGTCCATCACCAACTCCCAAGAGTTTACTCAAACTCATGTCCATTGAGTGGGTGATGCCATCCAACCATCTCATCCTCTGTCGTCTCCTTCTCCTTCTGCCTTCAACATTTCCCAGAATCAGGGTCTTTTCCAATGAGTCACTTCCTCACATCAGGTGGCCAAAGTATTGGAATTTCAGCTTCAACATCAGTCCTTCCACTGAATATTCAGGACTGATTTCCTTTAGGATGAACTGGTTGGATCTCCTTGCTGTCCAAGGAACTCTCAAGAGTCTTCTCCAACACCACAGATCAAAATTATCAGTTCTCCAGCACGCAGCTTTCTTTATAGTCCAACTCTCATATCCATACATGACTACTGGAAAAACCATAGCTTTTATTGATGGACCTTTGTTGGCAAAGTAATGTCTCTGCTTTTTAAGATGCTATCTTGGTTGGTCATAATTTTTCTTCCAAGGAGCAAGTGTCTTTTAATTTCATGGCTGAAGTCACCATCCGCAGTGATTTTGGAGCCCCCAAAAGTAAACTTCCTCACTGTTTCCATTGTTTCCCCTCCTATTTGCCATGAAGTGATGGGACCGGATGACATGATCTTAGCTTTCTGAATGTTGAGTTTTAAGCCAACCTTTTCACTCTCCTCTTTCACTTTCATCAAGAGGTTCTTTAGTTCTTTCCTTTCTTCCATAAGGGTGGTGTCATCTGTGTATCTGAGCTTATTGATATTTCTCCCAGCAATCTTGATTCCAGCTTGTGCTTTATCCAGCTCGGCATTTCGCATGATATACTCTGCATATAAGTTAAATAAGCAGGGTGACAATATACACCCTTGATGTACCCCTTTCCCTATTTGGAACCAGTCTGTTGTTCCATGTCCAGTTCTAACTGCTGCTTCCTGACCTGCATACAAACTTCTCAGGAGGCAGGTAAGGGGTCTGGTATTTCCATCTATTGAAAAGTTTTCCAAGTTTGTTGTGATCCGCATAGCCTAGGCTTTAGAGTAGTCAATAAAGCAAAAGTAGATGTTTTTCTGGAATTCTCTTGCTTTTTCGATTATCTTAGTTTTCTTACTAAGCACCATTATATGGTGCTTCATTTTACTTAGCACCATATAATGCTGCCTCCCTAAACAAAAGCAGGACTCACAATACTGTAAATCAACTCTACTTCAGTAAAAAACACTTTTTTACTTTAAAATAAGAGCAGGAATGAATCACATCCTACTCTTATCATGCAAGAGCTGAAGTTCTCTTTGTTCATCTTGAACAAACAAACAAAACTGGCATTGTTCCATTCCTTTTTAAAAAGAATTATTACATGGCAACTGAGTATTTTTTTGTACAGTTCTGTGTATTCTTGCCACCTCTTCTTAATATCTTCTGCTTCTGTTAGGTCCATACCATTTCTGTCCTTTATTGTGCCCATCTTTTCAGGAAATGTTCCTTTGGTATCTCTAATTTTCTTGAAGAGATTTCGAGTCTTTCCCATTCTATTGCTTTCCTCTGTTTCTTTGCACTGATCATTGAGAAAGGCTTTCTTATCTCTCCTTGCTATTGTTTGGAACTCTGCATTCAAATGGGTATATCCTTCCTTTTCTCCTTGCCTTTAGCTTCTCTTCTTTTCACAGCTATTTGTAAGGCCTCCTCAGAAAACTGTTTTGCCTTTGTGCACGTTATTGACTATGCCAAAGCCTTTGACTGTGTGGATCACAACAAATTGTGGAAAATTTTTAAAGAGATGGGAATACCAGACCACCTGACCTGCCTCCTGAGAAATTTGTATGCAGGTCAAGAAGCAACAGTTAGAACTGGACATGGAACAACAGACTTGTATTGGGAAAGGAGTACGTCAAGGCTGTATGTTGTCACCCTGCTTATTTAACTTATATGCAGAGTATATCATGAGAAACGCTGGGCTGGAAGAAGCACAAGCTGGAATCAAGATTGCTGGGAGAAATATCAATAACCTCACATATGCAGATGACACCACACTTATGGCAGAAAATGAAAATGAACTAAAGAACTTCTTGATGAAAGTGAAAGAGGTGAGTGAAAAAGTTGGCTTAAAGCTCAACATTCAGAAAACTAAGATCATGGCATCCAGTCATATCATTTCATGGTAAATACATGGAGAAACAGTGGAAACAGTGACAGACTTTATTTTTGGGGGCTCCAAAATCACTGCAGATGGTGACTGTAGCCATGAAATTAAAAGACACTTGCTCCTTGGAAGAAAAGCTGTGACCAACGTAGCCAGCATAGTAAAAAGCAGAGACATTACATTGCCAACAAAGGTCCATCTAGTCAAAGCTATGGTTTATCTAGTAGTCATGTATGGATGTGAGAGTTGTACTATAAAGAAAGCTGAGTGCTGGAGAACTGAAAATTTTGAACTGTAGTGTTGGAGAAGACTCTTGAGAGTCCCTTGGATTGTAAGGAGATCCAACCAGCCCATCCTAAAGGAAATCAGTTCTGAATATTCATTGGAAGGACTGATGCTGAAGCTGAAACTCCAATACTTTGGCCACCTGATGTGAAGAACTGACTCATTTAAAAAGACCTTGGTGCTGGGAAAGATTGAAGGCAGGAGGAGAAGGGGATGACAGAGGATGAGATGGTTGGATGGCATCACTGACTCAATGGACATGAGTTTGAGTAAACTCTGGAAGTTGGCGATGGACAGGGAGGCCTGGGCTGCTGCAGTCTATGGGGTCACAAAGTCAGACACAACTGAGTGACTGAAGTGAACTGAAGTGACTTTCTCGATGAGTGAGTGTGTCTTAGTTGCTCAGTCATGTTCAACTCTTTGTGACCCATGGACTGTAACCTCCAGGTTCCTCTCTCCATGGGATTCTCCAGGCAAGAATGCTGGAATGTGTTTTCATGCCCTTCTCCAGGGGATTTTCCCAACCCAGGGATTGAACCCCGATCACCTGCATTGCAGGCAGATTATTTACCATTAAATGACTTTCTTGATGTTATACACCTAATGAGTAGAAAGGCTAGGATTAAAAAAAAAAAACAGAGCAAAATGAATATTAGAAAAATCGGTCAGAGGAATGAGAACAACCAGGTATGTATAATCTTTTCTTTCTTAGGATTATTTGAAGTTCTCTTGTTATAGCAATGAACTTGGTGTGGGAAGGTATGTCATATTCATTGCCATGGATTCCAAGCTTATCTGTTATTGCCCACATCCCCCTGTGATCTCAGCATCAAACAGAAGTTAGAACATGGGAACATCTAAGCAGATACCAATCAGAAAGGGTCAAATCTAAGCAGATACTAATTGATAAGGGCCAAACCTTTGTACTATTGCCGAACCACCAGAAATACGTAAGAGTACCCAATTGGCTGGGCCACACAACTGCACTGATGTTGACCTCCTTATTTCTTATGGCAACAAATGGAACTCGGAGATGAACATGCTCCACAGGACCTAAAGGAACAAGGAAAACAATGTCAGTGTTTCTATTCCTGAAATAAACAAAAGCTCACCTTCCCAGATTCTTTACCATCACCTATAATAAAACAACAATCGCAAACTCACAGATGTTGAGATGTGTGTGTATGTGTGTGTGTATGTGCTTGAAATGAAGCACTGCAAACAACAGGGAACTCAATTCAGGCTTCAGATTGAGTGACATCTGAACTTAACTTCCATCTGATGATCCCAACCACAAATGCTTATGAACCTCAAATCTAAGGACAAAGCTAGTTTACTGGACACTTAGCCAATAAATAGGAAGATAAAGAGCGATCTCTTGCATGTCTGCTGATTAGCCTGTATTGTGATTGGGGGGTCAGTGCATTGTATGGAGGCCTCTGCCATTATCCTCAATTGTTAATTGGCTCAATCTTGTTCAACAATCGGCCATTGTGCCTGTCATCTGCAGCACTCATTGGGTGTCACTCAGAAGCTGGCAGGGCTGTATTATAAAAAGGAAAAAGCCTGTCTCCTTAAATTGAAGAGAAATAAATGCCAGGTTCCCAAATAATAATAATTTTAAAAGCTGTTTGCCAAAAGGTGACCAAACTCTTCTTTTTCGCTCCTCAGAAAACTGATGTAAGCAGTCTCAAGCTCTAAACTAGCAAGTAAGAGAAGAGATTGGAATCCATTCTATGCACAATAAGTGAGAATTTTAATTTAATTCATTTTCAAAATAATATGAGAGGAGGAAAACACTGAAGAAAAATGTTAATGAGTCAGCACTGCATTTGTTGGGCAGATATGTTATTTTTTTTAACTCCGTGGGATTTTCTCCCCAGCCCTTACCCCTTTCTTTTTCGTTTTCTTGTTTCCCTACCCACTTCCTTTCCTCCCTTTGCTCCCTTCCTCCACTTTTCCCTTTCTTACATCCTTTCTACTTCACCAGATCCAACTAAAATGTTCTGGTTATCTGCCCACACTTTGCTGAAACACATTTTCTAGTTTCTAACATGATAATGTTGAAGAGCTAAAGTAACTAAAGGTCACAGCTGTAGCAAGGACATCTCTTTATCCTTGGGACCTTGAGTTCTTCTCATGGGTGGGGCATTTTCCAGGCCACCAGGCCTTCACTAATGACATCCTTGGTTATTTTGGAGATGGCTCAGTTTAAAGGGCAGAAAGCAGAAGGATACTTTTTATTTCTGCTCCTATTTAGTTTTAGCTGTATGACCTTTTCTTCTATTTTACAGAAAGTGACAGTGAAGTCGCTCAGTCATGTCCGACTCTTTGCGACCCCATGGACTGTAGCCTACCAGGCTCCTCTGTCCACGGAATTTCCCAGGCAAGAGTACTGGAGTGGGTTGCCATTTCCTTCTCCAGGGGATCTTCCCAACCCAGAGATCGAACCCAGGTCTCCCGCATTGTAGGCAGACGCTTTATCGTCTGAGCCACAGGCTGTTAAGCTGTCCTTTGCCTTCCTTACAGAAATAACATATGAAGGTGATTTGAGGATATTAAAAGTATCATATAACTAATTATGGGCTGACACTATTTCCACCACCACCACCACCACACTATCATGGCTCCTGTTTATCACTGGGTTAAAGTCTCTCTTACAAGAGTGGGCATTATCGTGAATCTCATTTGTACCTCCTGTGTTATAGGTAAATTTATATCAGGAGAAAAGGTGTTTGGACAGGAACTGAGATCAGATGAGGAGATCAGCCAGACCTGCTTGCCACTGTCCAGATGGTATTTTTCTGAACAATCAACAAAGTATTCAAGAATCTGTGTATCTACAGTGTGAAAACACTCTCTGCTTGCAGCTCTCTCAGCTGACCCCAGGCATACAGCATTTCAAGATTTCTTCCAACAAATAATTTCAAACCTGTCACTTCAGATATACATTTGGCTAAAGGCTTAATTATTTTCAATTAGTAAGTCTGTTTAATTATTTTTGTATGGTTTGATTGTGGGCTAGAATTTAAAATACAGGTGTGAGAAAATACTGGCTACTTTTCATTTCTTCACTCAATTTTAGGAGTTCATCTGGTTAAACTCTCTTTGCTGTTTGTGTTTTATTGATCTTTGTGGAAGAGAATATGGCAATGGGAAGGGTTCCCTGACCAGGCCATGTCCTCGGAGGGAGATGAGAAACCTGGGTCTTACTTAACACCTCTGAGTCCTTCTTCATGCCCACATTCAGATTTCTCACTCTCCCTGTGATGGGAATAGAGTCCCTTTATCCTCAAGGTCAATGCTTCTGTTTTTTAATTGAAGTATAGTTGATTTACAGTATTGCATTAGTTTCAGGTGTAAGCAAAGTGATTTAGTTATACCTACATACATACCTACATACATACATATATTCTTTTTTCTATTCTAGGTTATTATAAGATACTAAATACAGTTCCCTGTGTTGTACAGTAAATCCTTGTTGCTTATTTATCTTATATACAGTAGTGTGCACCTGTTATCACATACTTCTAATTTACCCCCACCCTATTCCCCTTTGGTAAACATAAGTTTGTTTTCTATGTCTGTGAATCTGTTTCTGTCTTGCAAATAAGTTCATTTGGACTATTTTTTAGATAACGCTCCTATTCTTAGCTCTCTCCTTCAAAATGTGCAGAGCCCATCCTGCAGGCCAGCTCATGAGAAACCTGCACTTTTTCGACATTGCTATGATTCGCAGCACTGGACAGGCTTCTCAGTTTTCTGTTATGCAGACATCTCCACTCATCTAAGACTTAACATTGTTGGGTATTTTGATGCCCTCAAATATAAAATGAGACCTCCTTCTCCCTACTGTGTCAGTCTCTCAGTCTTATTTGGCTCCTTGTGACCTTATGGACTGTAGCCTGCCAGGCTCCTCTGCCCATGGAATCTTCCAGGCAAGAATACTGGAGTGGGGTGCCAATTCCTATTTCAGGAGATCTTCCCAATCCAGGGATTGAACCTGCATCTGTTACGTTTTCTGCATTGCCAGGTGAGTTCTTTACCACTAGCGTCACCTGGGAAGTCCTCTTCTCACTAAATTCATGCCAAACACAAAAGGGGTGGAGCTTCCATGAATTAGAACACCATCAAGCACAGCCACATATATGCTAGTTTCAGGACAAGTACTTTGGGGTAAACATAATCTCAAGGAACAACACTAAACGCTTTTTAGAGCAAAGAACCTGAGCCAGAAGCTCCAGGCTTCAACCTAAGATAAACCATGGATTGGAGAGAAGAGAGCTGGGAAGATTCAGAAGGGAATACAGGAAACTCCTAAACTCCTCAGTCAAAGAGTGTTCTTTTTAATAAAAATCTAATAATCTGTGTGAGATGGGTTATTATGGGTGGCTAACAGCTACTTTTGTTAGCTAATGGCCCAAGGTGAGGACAAGAGCAGTTTCCACTATAACAACTGTCTGATAAATGCAGCCATGATTGATTTGGAGGGAATTATGAGCACAATAAAAGTTTCAAGGAACATTTCCTCCTTCACGCACATAACCCACAATATAAACCTGTTCCTTGTTGTTGTTGTTTTTGCCACTGAAGTACACTGGTCTTTGTGCCCAGCAGACAAGGTCCACTCTTGAGAGAATTAGGAACATGGGTGGGGCAGGTCGTTGGAACAGAGGAAAGTAAATTTGTTTTTAAAAAAGACTTGTGTGTAAGACCGGCCCTTTTCTGACATAAGGGAACTTGGCTCTGAGAGTGTTTCCAGTCAAGAGCTAGCTGATAGGACTGGTTCACTCTGCCTAGAATTTTTTTTTTTTTTAAAGCAATAATATGGTTTATTCTAGGGCTTCCCTGGTGGTTCACATGGTCAAGAACCTGCCTGCAATGCAGGAGACCTGGTTTCGATCCCTGGGTCAGGAAGATCCCCTGGAGAAGGTAGTGGCTACCCATACCAGTATTTTTGCTGGAGAATTCTGTGGACACAGGAGCTGGTAGACTACGGTCCATGGAGTGGCAAAGAGTCAGATATGACTGAGAGATTAAGCGCACACACATACATGTTTATTCTGAAAAAAGTATTTTCCTCAGGAAGTCTGGAAATTTTGTGCACTAGGCAGAGGGTGGCTATCTGATCAGTCCCCAGTAGAAGCCACGGCCACTGAGTTTGCAGTGAGCTTTTCTGGTAAACAGCCCTTCACACATGTTGCTCTAACTCATTGCTGGAGGAATTATGCATGTTCTGTGGGACTCCACGGGAGATGACTCTTCGAAATTTGAACTTCGCTTCCTACAGGCTTTGTCCCACAGGCCTTTTCTCTTTGTTGATCTCGCTCTGCTGATCAGTGTAATGAATCAAAGTCTGAAGTATGGCTATATGCTGAGACTTGCAAGTCCTTCCAGCAAATCACTAAATCTGGGAGAGGATGTCTTAGGGACCCTGACACATACACATAATCCAATTTGATTCTCAGAGCCTCACCATAATCTAAATATTATAGGAGAGGGATCACAAGTCTGTAAAGACTAAGAAAGTTGACAGATATTAAACATTTCACAAAAGGATATGATCAGTATTCAAATACAGGTCTTTTTTGCTCTAAACTTGGCTTGTAAACACCCTGCACACAACCCACCTGGGTTTCTGACTTGGTGCTGCTGGCACAGAAATATTATAGATGATGTGGTGTGATTATCACCACTGGGCAATTGATGCCCATTTCTAGCAGTGCTTCCCCTCCCTCAGCGGAATGTAAACTCTGCAAGGGTGGAGCCATCTTTCTATTACTGTCCCCAGTATCTAGCAATATATTAAGAACTCAACAAATAGTCATTGAATAAATTAGTGAATGACTGGATGTGTTATTTGTAATTCCTATTTACTACTGTTGCAAGAGACCTATGGAGCAAGGTGCCAGTTAGAATTAAGCCATTTTAAAACTGAAGTTCAGAAGATTCAGAGAAGAAACCATCTATCCCATGGTCCAGTAGCTTGGTATCCTTAAGGATATATTGTCCAGGTCTTTCTCCATGCACTTCCCTCATCGCTGCTGGTCCTTATACTATTAGTGTAGCCAGAATGCTAGGAGACCAGATAGGTCACTGTTTGCCAGGGACCTTTTAAGTGTAGGTTGTTTATATTTTTACTGAGTTGTTAATAGAAAAAGTGTCTCTTATGTTCGCCTAGGTTCTTTTAAAGCATTTAATTTTCACCATATGTAGCATGTATGAGTGTGTGTACTCAATCGCTCAGTCATGTCTGAAACTTTGAGAGCCCATGGACTGCAGTCTGCCAGCCTCCTCTGTCCATGGGATTATTCTGGCAAGAACACTGGAGTTTTGTTGCAATTTCCCCCTCAGGTGATCTTCCCAACCCAGGGATTGAAACTGCATCTCCTGTGACTCCTCCACTGGCAGGCAGATTCTTTACCACTGAGCCACCTGAGAAGACCATCAGATATAGCATAGCCTCTATACTATTGTGGGGTATATAAGTAAAAACTACCATAGTCCTTAGACCCATGATTATCACTATAAAGTACAGGAAACCAATAACAGTCCCAAAACAACATTTCCTTAACCCAACATTTTAAATTTATTTATTTCAATTTATCTAAGTCAAATTCCAGGATATCGAAGACACAGAATACACCCAGGACTAACACACTACTTTGGAACTTCAACTGTTTGGTTTGTTCCTTGGTGACTCAGACAGGAAAGAATCTGCCTGTGATGTGGGAGACTGGGGCTCAATCCCTGGTCGGGAAGATCCCTTGAAGAAAGGATTGGCTACCCACTCCAGCATTCTTGCCTGGAAAATTCCATGGACAGAGAGCCTGATGGGCTACAGTCCCTGGGGTAACAAAGAGTCAGATACGACTGAGCGACTAACACTTCCACTTTTCAAGCAACAGCCAACAACCATGAAACAAATTCTAGGACAACAAAACTGTTGGGGAGTTCTTAGAATTATTTACATCTGGGATAAACTTGAGGTAACCTTGGGTATAAGAATTAAGTTATTTTATATGTTCAGTTCTACATTTAAAACAATTTGGGCATGTGTTTCTTTAATCCTTCTTTGGCTCTTTCAACGGCGAGAACAATTTACTTTGATTTGTGCCGCCTTCACTCAGAGTAGCTTGAAAATGAGCCTGTGGCTGTGAACCAGAGGACTTCTCTCTTGCTCTATTTTAGCAGCCTCCAATGCAAGGGACTTTTACCTGAAGATGTGTTTGCATGTGCACACTTATATCAGAACAGAGTGGAGCTGAAAAGGAGAGACTAGGTGGTAACATTTTCCAAACTTTCAAAATAGTCTGTCTACTTCAGCATCATGAAACGCCAACATGGATGAACTCACATCTGTCATTTGTGGTAGTAGTCATACCAGTTCCAGCTCAGCGAGGGATCTCAGGAAGTCTGGACAGAAGAAGTAGTCAACCGGGAGCAGAGGGGTGGCTCAAGCTACTTACAAACCACGTGCAGGAAGAGGACCGCTGTATCTGAGCCCAGGCTGTTCTCCGCATAGGCCGTCACCTGGAAGATGCCTGCACTCTTGTACACATGCTTGATGCCGTCTTCAATGGGACTGAAATTAGCGTAGGACACTGCAATCCCATCCCCAAAGTCAAGCTGGATGTTTGTCCTTTGGAGATCACCCTGCAGAGGGGAATAGCAGCTGGCCTGGGCCCATTTGCATGGTCCAGCCCAACTCCTCTCTGATGCTTGGTCCTCTGCCTTCGGCATCACCCCTTGAGGCCTGAATCTCCCCCAAACACCCTCCTGAAACACTCTCAACACAATCATCAGACTCCTGTCTGATAGCTACTGAGCACTGCAAACAGGTACTGTGGGTCTATTGCCCTTGTATGCCCAAACTCAGGCAGCATGATGTGGCTGCTATTAGCAATTACAGAGAAGGTGGAGCCTCTGTGAAGCTCTGAAGTGGGGAAGCCAAGGGCAGCCCTCGCTCTCTCATACACATTAATTGTTCCTCTCTTGTTTCATGGTAATAATAATAGTAACAGTAACAGCTAACACTGATAAAGCTTCTTTTCAGTTCCAAGCAATTAGTGCCCTCATAACTTTAAAATGTAGAAAGTATTACTGTTCCCATTTTAGAAATGAGGACAAAAATAAAGGAATTAGACCAAAGTCTCTGTAGCCAATAGTGGAAGAGCCAAGTTTTGAACCCAAGTAGTCTGGTGTCAGTACTCTCAACCATCATGCTATTATTAAAATTTTCCTATTTTTTAGTATTTATCATTACGTTCCAAGCATTATGCTAATCACTTAACACATATTATACAATACCATCTTAAAAATAACTCTGTGAGATAGGATGATTATCTCCATTCTACAGATAAATACTGCATAGCAGCTGAAAATATACCTGTGCTCTGTTGATCTTGGGTTTCCCTAAACTTGCCTAAGCCCCCTCTTCCCTGAAGCATTTTTTGACCATCTCAGCTCACAGGTATTTCTGCCTCGAGGGATGCCAAGAGCCACCTAGGTCCACCGGAGGTGGTGATGTCAGTGGTTTAGTTGAGTGCATCTTACCATCATCCCAAGTTGATCCTTCGCTTCCTAAGAGCTGATACTGAACCCCACCCTTTCTTGTACTTCATTGTACTTCTGTACATTGTACTTTCTTGTACTTCATCCCACTAGATTGGGCTGACACTTTGGATAAATTCAACTGAACCTAACCAAAAGATAAGGGTTCTAGATGAAAAAGAAGAATCAAGTTTCTCTGCCTATTTACAAAGATTGTTGATGGAGAAGAAAAAAGAGAAATACATCATTTTGGAATGATGAGCCAATTCTCCTGCCCAGTGAATGTGGATTCATCACAGTTTCACTGTCTCTTCCCCCGTGGCAACTCAGATGTGAGTAAAATATTGATAGGTGCTACCTTGCCCCCAACACAATGTCAACTACCCTTGAATTTATGAATATAAATTAAAGTGGAAATGAACTGAAGGCAATTCAAATGGATAAGATCATGGCTCTTCACATCCATTCAAGAGAAGGTTTTAATAGAGCTGATCCTGGAAACTCCCTAGTGGGAATGTGATAATGACCTCCTCTGAATATTAAAGTTCTTTAATTTAAGCACCCAGTGTGGATGAAGGCTAAAGAATCTGCCAACCCAGGATAAGGAGCCCTCACTGTCCTGTCCAGTGTGGGCCAGACTTTAAAGATCTCTAAAGTATTCACAGTTGGGGGGTGAGGGGGTGGAGAAACACTCCTGGCCTGCTTTGGTCTCTTTCCAAGATCTCAAGAGCACACAGTTATTTGCATTTAAATATGGATGGCTTTGTAAATCAGGCAAACTTCCTTGCCCCAGCGCCTCAGCAAGGAGTGCCTGAAAATTTCCCTGGTTTGGAAACAGATGAAACAGCTTATATAGGAAGCAAAGACGCATACAGCAGAGCTATTCTATCCAGAATGAATGAATACAGTCTGGTTTTGCTCCCCAGACTGCAAATGACCTAAAAAGTGAACTAATGGAGCAGGCAGCTGATGGAAAGTCAACTCATATGACATTCTTTAGAAAAATAAGTTTAGAGGATTGGGATCACCCTCCCCCATCCTCACACTCATACTTTCAAGACTCTCTAGAAGTCTTGTGGGCTTTTCTAATTAGTGGGGTTAAGGGTAAATGAAAAAATTAAGGATCCTGGAACAAACAGGAAAAAAGTGAATTCCATTCTGGCAATGTTTATAGTATACAGTCTAATGATAATTAAGAGTCCTTCAACGCTGCAGGCCCTAAAGGGGTACCTCAAAGAATATATTCAGATCTGCACCTGCTCAGAGACAAGGGGACCCCCCTTGGCCTAGGTCTGTATTGTGGGATGAAGGGAACTGGGTCGCTAAACATCCCAAGCCCTCTTTTACCCCTTCCATCTTATCACACAACTGTTGCTTCTCACCATTGACTTTGATTTAAAGATTAGTGGGAACACAAGATCTTTCTTCTCTTCCCATCTGGATGTGGGAAATGACCCGTTTGTGAGTTCTGACCTCGGAGGCCCAGGAGGGGCTCCCCTACCTCCTCCATGAGGATGATGAAGGTTGCATTGTGTCCCTGCTCCGCCACCAGGCGCCCATCAGTCGTCACCACGTGGAGGCCATGAGGGGCTTTTCCAGGGCACATCTGGGCCTTGGCGGTGTACTTCTCCCTCAGGCCGTCTGTGCAGTTGTTGGACACTATTCGCCGGTACCTAAAGGGTATCGATCATTGTCAGTGGTGTGGTTTATCACATGTATGTGTGCTCATGTGAAGCATGTATGGTAGAGTGTGCAAGAAAGCAAGAGTGAGACAGAGATTCCACACAGTTGCACCTGACATCTGAGTCCCAGAGAAGACAGCCATTTAGGAAGCTAAACAAATGCTGAGAAGCCGCTATCCCTTCATCTCAGGAAGAGCAGCTCTTTAAATACTATTATCGATCCTACCTGGTGAATCACGGATCAGATCAGTGTCTAAACCAGCCAAGAAAAATCAATATCTGACTCACTCACGAGGCAGGAGGTGGCAGACCCACTGGTCTAGGGAAACAAGAAAGCAGGTTCTTCTCCCTGTAAGGGAGATACTTGTTCCTACCTCCCTGAGGTCAGAAAGCAGCTAGAAGATCAGCCTTCTTCTAACTCTGATTACTCAGGAAGAATCTTCCTGTCTTCCCTTGACCCCCAGGACACCATCGCATCCCCTAACACCTACCAGTTCTTACTCTGGAGCCACTGGACTCTTTTATAGCAGATTTTCTCTCCTTGCTAATATTTCATTTCCCATTCATCGCTAATACCAGACCAGAAGCACAAGTGTGAAACCCCTGTTTGATCCTGCTGTGGTAAAACTGTCTCAGAGAAGAAGCCGGCATGGGAAAATCTCCCCATAAACAGTGACCTTCTAAGAGAAGAGCATCTTTGGGCATGGTGATAACGTGTCATCTCTCTTGACCGCTGACCCAAGCACGTGAAGCCAAGGCAAGAGCTTGCCCACAGCCCTGACCTGCATGACGGACTTTATTTCCAGGCATATCACTATCTGTAAAACTGCATAAAATCAATGTTCTGGTAAAACCAAGGAAAATAAATGCACCACAGACACCACTACCACCTTCATCGTCATCATCACATCACATCTTCTTTCATTCTGCGTGTCAGGAGTAATTATCCAGTCTAACCATGTTGCCTTCTTCTGGTGGCCTTGAAAGCAAACTTCTATATGAATGACATTGGTCCTCCACTGTACCTGACCCCCACATACTGCTGAACCACTAGCCCAACAGCTTCATCAGGAGATCTCAAGAGGATGTCAAGCAAATGTTATATGTAGTTACTGCTAATGTGAACTTATAATATATCCTCTTATAGACACATATTATTTTAATTGTCAACTAAGTTCATAGCCGGTCCAGAGCTGCCCTGTCTAATATGCTCATCACTTTTCACCTGTGGCTACTCAGCACTTAAAATGTGGTTAGTGGTGCTCGTTGAAATGATCAGAATGTATAGTTAAATAAAATATATTATTAAATTAATTTCACTTAAAAATATTTTTCAGTGTGGATATTGGAAATTTTTAAGTTATATATGTGGCTCATAGTAGAGTTCTTTCAATCAGTACTGGTCTATATAATCAAATTTTTGTAATCTATAGCTTCTTGTTGACCTTTATTCATTTAGAATATCCTGAGCTTTACCTGTGATAGACATTTTGGAGGATGTCACATCTTAATGTACACTTCATATCATCCACTCTTGCTCTTTAACTATGGCCAGCTGGTGGATGATTTGTAATAGAAGCCAACATTTAAATAACCTAGAGGTATGTGTAGGCATTTTTAGAGAATCTTAAAAAAAGAAAAAAGAGTTTTTCCCTTTTATCTTCTTGATTTGTTTGTTTGGCTGTCAGTGGTTTTGGCACATGGAACTTGCTTAAAATTGGGTCCACATATCACATGATCATACCAGAGGCCCTAATGCAATTACCTTCTTGTTATGTCCAGGTGTGCTCTGGCTGAGCCCTGGCCTAGCTGGTCATATATACCTGTTACATTTCTCTTCCTCAAACTTCAGAGCACTTTATTCTCCAGCACCTCGTGTCTTTAAATTTCTCTCTGCAGGATCTGTAGTTTGAGTGACTTAACTCCCAAGACAGTCATCTACAATAAAATTACATCAACAGTGCTTAAACCTCAGCTCAGATCCCAAGAATAGCTCCTTAAGAACCAAATATTGGCTAAAATATTGTACACTTCTCAGAGTATCTCAGACCACCTGATACATCTCTTCCATCATGTTTTTTCTTCTCTCTAGACATCAGTTATGCAGGTAGTACTCTGGCCACTATTTTACAAACAGGTAAAGTAAAAATACTGAGATGGTGAGTAACCTGTGTGAGACGTTAGAAGATCCATCCATTAGAAGAGTTGAGACTGGATTCTAGTTCCTTGTTACTCAAAGATGAGTGCTGGGACCAGCAAAGACAACAATGTGTGGGAGTTTGTTGAAATAAAGAATCTCAATGCCACTGTAGATCGCCTAAATTAGGAGCTGCCTTTTAACAAGATCCCCAGGTGATTCATAGCACATAAAAATTGTAAAAACACTGTCTTCAGCCACCAATCTGCTTTCCAAATCTGTACTTGGTCACGGAAATGGCAAAGTAAAGGGGAAAGACAACAAATCATGGAAAATTTTTTTTCAAGTATCTGAGGAAGCAATAAGTAACAAAAAGAGAAACATACATAATTTGACAATTACAGAAAGTGTGCCTTGAGCTTCTTATTCCAGGAGTTCCCAGGATGGGACTTTGACTTTCCATTCTGTTTCCATCATTGGTCCACAAGAGCTTCAGCTCATCTATCACTAAAGAGCACCATAATATCTGCACACCACTTGTGCTAATTTATTCCCATCAGGGTCTGGAAAACACGGTGGCATCTCTTTCCAGAAGAGAATAACGGCTATGATATTTTAGAGGCAAATAGCAAAAGGTATTGAAATCTGGGTAATGAGAAGTCTCTTCTATGTTCAAAAAAGGTCTCAGCTGAAGAACCCCTAGACTTTCTTCACAAGCCACCTGCTATCAACAGACTCTATCTATGTTCTTTCTTGCTTCAGTAGCAATGCTCCTCTGATTCCAACTTAGTGAACAGTGAAATAGGAAGACAGTGAGTGGGGTTCCTTCAGGTGAATTACTTACCCAGTGCTGTTAAAGTAGCTTTGACCAAGGCTGCAGTCCTTAGATGGAGATGCCGGGTTGTACCAGAAAGCAGGGACACACTGGCTCTCTCCACGTCTCTCAAAGCCATAGTCGCTGTCCGGAAAGTAAACATTGAATACTGCTGTAGATGCACAAACGTGAAACTATCCACAAACACATATAAACACAGATGTATCTCTCTAACCACCCCCAAAGCCAAACCTATTCTTTAAATATTCCCAGTAGGGGCAAAATTCATGCTTTGAAAATAGATTTTCAGACTCAGTCATTTGGAGTCCAGTGTACAGAAGATATAGTGGATTAGCAAATGAAGAGTCCAGGTTTAAAAAGGTATGAATGTGAAAGGTACACTAGGTTGGGTGGGTGTGAGGGATGTCATAAGCTTAGAAGCATATTTTGGGTCACAGTGGGTTTACTGAAATAAACGGATGACAATCAAGAAGATGTTTTTAAAAGTAAAGATTTATTTATGTGATATGGTTCTACACATTATTCCAAAATGGATTTCATTGATTTTATCTTCATTTTTTCTGGAAATTCTCTTTCAAACACATATACACATTTGCATTCACATTCAAACTTTCCCCAGCTATTTATAACACAAGCCTCCTGTTTCCTTTAGGAAACAAACAAATAAAAAACCCCCAAAAGTTAGACTGTAGCTCTTCCCCATGTTTTTGTAAAACCCGAGCCATAATAAAATGAAGAAAGGTCAGGTATGATCCCCTTCTTCCCTCTGCACTCCAAAATGAGGGAGTCACAGACCAGTGTGTGGTGTGAGAGGAGGGCTCCCATTGGAAATGTAAATGGCGTTGCCTTACTTCTTGAGGTTTTATAAAACTCCCAGAATTGTAAATGCCAGGTAGAAAAAGAGTAAGAAAGTAGGCATTATTGCTCTTACAACCAACCCCAGGTCACTGAAGGTGGCTTCACTTGGCAGAAGTCATGCCTTTCTAAGTCAAGCATCCAGGGGTTTCCTGAAACCCACAGACATGGCAGACAATCTGGACCTCTGAATGTTGATTCACTGAGTGTTAATGAAACATGCAACAACAGGAAAATAACTCTTTCCTGACTCACTCCCCCTTTCTTTTTCTATTTCCATATTCTTTGAGACATGATTTAATTAAAGATCAATGAAAATAGAGGCAAATTGTCTATGCGGGCAACTAGGATAGGAATGAAAGGAAGAAAGGAAAAAAAGTTTAATTCTGCATTTATTTATTACTCAGTATGTGCCCTGTCCTGTGAAAGAAGGGCCATCATTCCTATTATCAAAGGGTTTTCAGTCTTTTGGAGAGAGGAAGACACCACGACTCCAATCCAACAAAAGAACAGAGGAATACAGTCTGAAGCAGAGTACAGTGTAATACAGTATGAAGCAGTACAGTTTAGAAGTACCAAATGACTGATGAGATTATATAAATATCTGCTGGGTTTGATCCCACCCTACTTCTCACAACCTTCCTCCAAACCAAACTCAGACCAATCTTCCAACCTTCTTTGTCTTTGTATTTGGTTTTCCCCAGAGCTTTTGAAGCACTCTACCCTTTTCTGTATTAGGCAGTTTCCTAAGCATCCTTCAATAGCTATGCCTGATGAAGCCATCCTTACTTTCTAAGACCAAATCTTTGTGGCTCCACCATTTTGGGAAACATCGAGGCTAAAAAAGGGCAGTTACTTCTGTTGGTTTTGTTCAGCAATATTAGGGTCTAGAATAGGACACTGCAGTTCTTGAACAAATATTTAGTGGGTAAATGGTACTCTCATTGCATTTTTTGGAGAAGGCAATGGCAACCCACTCCAGTATCCTTGCCTGGAAAATCCCATGGACGGAGGAGCCAGGTAGGCTGCAGTCCATGGGGTCGCTAAGAGTTGGACACGACTGAGCAACTTCCCTTTCACTTTTCACTTTCATGCATTGGAGAAGGAAATGACAACCCACTCCAGTGTTCTTGCCTGGAGAATCCCAGGGATGGGGGAGCCTGATGGGCTGCTGTCTATGGGGTTGCACAGAGTCGGACACGACTGAAGCAACTTAACAGCAGCAGAAGCACTGCATTTTTAAATAATCACACTAATTATCCCATTGCATTGGTCTATTTCTGCAGGGAGACTGTGAGCCCAAGGTTAACTTCCCAGTGTGTACCACAGAGCATCCCAGGAGCTCAAAACATGCCTGTGGAATGAGTATGAGCTCGAGTCATTGCAGATGGCCACGCAGAAAGGTGAAGCTCAAGACCAGCTTCAATAAGGTGAGTTTAAATGAAACTGGAAGAAAAGGAGAATGGGACATGTTTGTCAAGGTCATCTTTTGCCATGCCTCCCAATTAATGATTGAAGATCTTCCCCCTGAGAGTTCATATGGACTTAGTATTGTACCAGCTGCTAACAGCCCATGAAAGCCTACTTAAAATTCCAGGAACTTTGTGAGTTAGTTAAGGTTGTTAAGTAGAGTTTAAATAATGATTTAAAATTTATACAAAATTTTACTTATATTCAAAAGATAATACCTAAAACACAGAAATTCTCCATTATTATGCTGCATTTATTATTACTCTATGCAATAAATACTACATGTAAAATGACATGATATAATCATTAGATGCTCTTGAAGTCATTTGTCTGTGTACCCGTGTATAGTAGAAATACATGTTGTGTTTCCTAATTCATTCAGTGATGTCACGTTGGCAGCATGAAATTGTATATCATGGGGATATTTACAGCAATCACCAATCACTACTAATCAGGGCTTATTTACTTCTTTGATCCTGAGAAAATTGAAAGTGAAAGTCACCCAGCTGTGTCCAACTCTTTGTGACTCCATGGACTACACAGTCCCTGTAATTCTCCAGGCCAGAATACTAGAGTGGGTAGCCTTTCCCTTCTTCAGGGGATCTCCACAACCCAGGGATCAAACCCAAGTCTTCTGCATTGCAGGTGGATTCTTCACCAGCTGAGCCACAAGGGAAGCCAAGAATACTGGAGTGGGTAGGCTATCCCTTCTCCAGAGGATCTTCCCGACCCAGGAATCAAACCTGGGTCTCCTGTATTGCAGGCAACTTCTTTACCAACTGAGCTATCAGGGAAGCCCAGAGAGCCAGTAGTTAAATATTTTCCAGCACAGTACTGAATAGCTGATTTCAAAGTATTATTTACCTGTAGAAGGATTTGGGCTGTGATGAGCCTGCACTACTAGTAAATCCCCTGATAGCTTTATGCAGTAAATCTATTGAATGTCCTGTTAATCCCAGAAATATTTGTAATTTTCGAAGGAAGGGTGCTCTCCTAAGCAGCTTTATGAGGGAAAGAAATGTCACATGCTCCTTGCTCAGTGTAACCATCTTTAGCAGTAATGTTCAGCTCTGCTACCTGTTAGTGATGCAGTAATTAAAGAAGGTGCATCAGCCATGCTGCTTTGCCCCAAAGAGAAAAAGCACCGCATTAATATTTAATAACATTAATGGAAACATCACTAGCTGCCCCCAAGCTGTGGGCTTCTTCATTACCTTCTGCTAAATGTACACTATTGAATAAAATCTCTCATCCTGTCCAAGTCCCCTCCCAGCTCTGAAGTTTTATGATTTCAGCAAATAAGCAGGGCCAGCTGCTGCTCCAGCTTCCTGGGGAAAGGTGTTTTTCTCTTGAATTGTGACATTTGGAAAGAATGTACCAGAAAGTTCTATTTGCCTCAGGGAAGGAAGCTGCCACAGCTTCTGCAAACACACAGGTAGTTTTCTTTAAGAAGTAAGTCACCTCTGTGTCTTCTTTGACTATAAATGGGTTGAGAAATTCTAAAAGTTTAGGGGAAAATTGTCCATTTCCAGGGGCATGTGTGTCCTCAAAATCCCACCCAGAGAGAAGCCTCAGATAATCCTGAGAGGGGATAGATAAGGAAAGGCTCAGAAACCAAAGTTTCTGCATGTCAGAAAAGGAAGGGACACTAGTATTACTTGGGTTCAATCCCCTCAGTTCACAGAATGAAAAGGAGAAGAAAAAGAGAAAGAATGATTGTACACAGCTGTTGGGATGTCAACAAAGGTGACAACTGAGACTTCTGATCCCTGGCTTGCCATTAGTATAAGCCCATGAAATACGCATTTAATCATCAGTTCAGTTCAGTCGCTCAGTAATGTCTGACTCTTTGTGACCCTATGAACCACAGCACACCAGGCTTCCCTGTCCATCATCAACTCCCAGAGCTTGCTCAAACTCATGTCCATCAAGTTGGTGATACCATCCAACCATCTCATCCCCTGTCATCCCCTTCTCCTCCTGCCTTCAATATTTCCCAGCATCAGGGTCTTTTCCAATGAGTCAGTTCCTCACATCAGGTGGCCAAAGTATTGGAGTTTCAGCTTCAGCATCAGTCCTTCCAATGATTATTCAGGACTGATTTCCTTTAGGATGAATTGGCTGGATCTCCTTATTGTCCAAGGGACTCTCAAGAATCTTTTCCAACACCACAGTTCAAAAGCATCAATTTTTCAGCACTCAGCTTTCTTTATGGTCCAACTCTCACATCCATACATGACTACTGGAAAAACCATAGCTTTGACTATATGGACCTTTGTCAGTAAAGTAATGTCTCTGCTTTTTAATATGCTGTCTAGCTTGGTCATAGCTTTTCTTCCAAGGAGTAAGTGTCTTTTAATTTCATGGCTATAGTCACTATCTGAAGTGATTTTGGAGCCCAAGAAAATAAAGTCTGTCACTATTACGATTGTTTCCCCATCTGTTAGCCATCAAGTGATGGGACTGAATGCCAAGATCTTAGTTTTTTGCATATTGAGTTTTAAGCCAGCTTTGAGGCCCGATGTCATTCTGAGCCCCTTGGAGCTGGCCAAGAAGTCATGGTCTCTGCTGGCCCAGGGGTAGGGAGTATCCTACTCTCAGACCATGCACAGTCCCATCAAGACTCACTGACCCCCGGTTCTTCCAGTCTCCCATTTGGGATTCAAGGCTCTAGGATGAGTGTTCACAGATGTCTCTGTCTCATTTTAGGAGACATTAGAGTGCAGTCGATTTGGGATCTGATGGAGGTTTTTAGCAGACACAGCATGAACACTCAGCAAAGAGAAGCAATCACAACA